GTCAGCAATTACAGCATACTTTTGAATAATTATTTCTTTAATAAAAAAACCTTACGTTTATGTCACGCTTTAGGCTATATATTTTTACGCCATTAAACTTAGGGGGTAAATATTTTGGATAAAAAGCTTAATGTGGGAAAGAGACCATAAGTTGCTGCTAACATTAAGGAAGCAAGATTGTCAAGGTTTGTCATGTCATGTCATTTTGACAAATGTAATGTAAATTAATAAATGTGTCATAACTTTATTGCTGATGAAGCCGCACGGGAACAGCTAGTTTATTTATAAACTTTGACCGCCCGTTGTAATATTTTATCGACGCATAAGCAATTATGTAGTAAATAAGCAATACTTTAAGAGTGTCTTTCCAAATTGTTAATAGTGACATATTAAATTTATAATATTACATGTTTAAATATATCTGTACAATTATTAAGATGAAGTTTAATAAATCATTACTTTTTAATAAGATTGTAGTTCTTTCCACTTATGTTATATATACACCACTTGAACTAATTATTGTTTTTTAATACAAACAACGGCCGCCTACTAGTGATTCAACGACCAAGGAACTCTTCGGCGCCTGCCTTGGTGGTAGGAAAACAAGGGGGATTAGTTTTAGTGTACCGATTATATTTCTAGCTAATCCACAAACAAGGAAAAACAATTTCTGGTAAACTGAGATATCATTCACGATATTAAAAAACCAATGTTGGATTTTATTAGTCTAATCTGAAAAGGATGCAGCCATAAAGAAAAAAACAAACATTTATCTGCATCGCGCTGCAACTACACCTTGAAAAAAAAACCGTTTTCGATTTTTTTTAATCTGTGAAGGAGTTTGACGTTAATGTCAAATTGACATTTAAGATTGCAGTCAGCTGTGAAATGTCAATTTAAATGTTATGCATTTGTTAGTTTTTTAGAATTATACTTTTAACTTTTTCTTCAGTATTAAGATTTCTAGGACTATTGGTATTAAACGTCTATTAATTAAAGACATTATTACATAGTTTTACATATATACTGTTTAATTAGACAATGAATTTTGTAATCTCGGTATGGCTTGTTATGTAAACAGAAATTTCGATGATCAACAGTAAATAAATGTATATTTTGTGATATGTAAAAGGCACCATATTATCACACTTTTAAATCTTATGAAATACAATTTTCTATTAAGCAATGTTTTTACAAAGGCTTAAGTTTCCTAAACTCACTGGATATATGTTTGTTGCTAACATGTCTTCAAAACCTACATCATCAGAGGTTCTTACTGCTTATTTGACGCAGTGTAAAGAACCTCCATGGACTTCATACTTCGTAAAGGTAATGTGTACAACTCCTGTATGAAAAAATGTTATATCTGTTCCTCCGAGCATCTATGAAAGCCTGAATGACAATGCCTGTTCAGAGTTGATTTACACATATTTAAATCTAAGTCGTTTACATTTTTTCCAGTACAGTAGTGTAAAAGATGACCAATTTGGAAAATCAAACTTTAATTGGGAAGTTGGTAGATCTAACTATCAAATATTAAGGACAGGATGCTATCCATATATTAAGTATCATTGTTCAAGAAAAGAAGCAGAAGATTTAGAGACATCTGATAAATTTATGAGAATTATTAAAATTGTTAATCTAGGTAAATTATATCAGTTCATTGTTTTATTAATTGCCATACTAATAGATAATCTATGGTCAATCACATAGATTTCCTAAACTAAGAAACTCCCTTAGTAAACACTTAACAACTACTTTGACTAGATACATTGCCAAAATTCTTGTGATGCCTATTGCTTTAACAGTTAATGTTTTTTTTATTATAGATATGTATTTTAAAACACAGAAGTGGCCATTTGTAAAGATTTATTCCCTTAGTGTTGTCATTTCCAAAATGACACTATGGTGTTTATATTTAATGAAATTCTATTTACAGGTATACCATGTCTGTTGTATGGCTTGGCTGCTACAATGTTAATCCGTCATTCTGAGGTTGTCAACACTAGTAAAGGACAGATTAAAATATATTTTTTGTTGCCAGAACATAAAGGATCGTTTTACTGATTTACTTGTTACATTGTTTTAGTATATTAATGTATGTGTTAAAATCATACACATAGTCTAGGTGAATTTATTTATTTAAATACATTACTGATTAAATATCTAAGTATAAGAAATAAATATAAAAAAAAACAGTGTACTCATTAGTTTCCTTTTCCTCCTATTTGTGTAGAAAAAAACAATAGGAAAAACCACTATAAGACAAAATTCGATTAAAACTAAGAGCAAGTATAGTATAAATATAAATTAGTACTTATTAGTAAAAGTAGTGAAAAATTATCTGCTAGTGAGTTATAAGCCCTGCGATAAATAGTGCCACATAAACTAATAATTTTGTAGTGCCTTTTGAATGCAATTGCGCCAAAGGTGTTTCCATTACTCATACTGTCTCAACAAATTGAAATAAGAATACGACGAGCTCATTATCTGAAATTAAGATTTTTTTTATAAGATAGACTTAAATTTCAAATGATTAGGGCAATGAACAAGGGGAGCTAGTAGCAGAAATACTTTTTATTCTAAAAAGAATGCAGTAGTGAAAACTTTACTTTTTTATACGAGTTTCTAGGGATTGTATGAACCTTTATATTTCGAATTGATTTATATATTTTACAATTTTGCGCCGTTATATATGCACTTCGGCTCTTTTGAAATTCCGAGCCATCATAACCTTTAAATCATACTATAACTTACCGATGAAAATGTTTCCAATTCTAATTTTGGTAGCCCCGTAAACTTTATAGTAACGGGCTGTTGCGCTCTTAATATCAATATAATGAAATCAGAACGTAACAATTGTCCTAATGGAGTCTCCTGCCAACCGCAGCCCCAGCAAGCTTCGCCGACTGCAAAGGCCTAGGATAATTGGAATTGATATTAATTCTAACAGAATCAAACAACTAGTAATCCTACAACACAGACATTTCATCATAATTTTTGTCCTCAAAATAAAGTCTAATGTAACGAAAACTATGAAGATATAAGAGCTATTATTTATTGGCTCTCTTTCCTAAAAATTATTGAATTATAAAATAGACTAGTCTAGACAAACCAGGAAGAGTCGTGTATGCAACTATGTCAACGGGAAATTGCATTAACTTGCAATAATCTTTTTAAAATGAATATCTAATATTTTTTGCTATTAAATAATGAATTTTGAATGAGCATAAAATATGGAAAAATGTCGACAATTTATTTATAATTTGAATAACTTATGTAAATTTGTATAAAGGTCAGGTAAGGTTACATAAAACAGGTCGTTTCAGTAATAAACGTACCATCACGTGGTTTGAGCCGGAATACAATAAAAAAAATAAGGATCATTAAACAAACGGTGAATTATTCTTACTTCCTCAATGACAGATTCTAAAACAGATATTTCGTATCTCATTTGTTTGTCGTTTAATAATTTTGCTGTTTGTATTGCAAAAGATCAAAATCAATGTTATTTGATTCTTTGGGGAAGTGTATTCCTTTGATACTCTTACCAATAGATAATTAACCTTTAGATACCTTATTTATTTCAAAATTGAGTAATTGGATTCCGCCCTTACTTCGATATGAGATTAATGGATACATTATCCCCCCCCCCCCCAACAACGTAACAAGCGGACGTGTTTTGTCTCGACCTTCGAAACTACGACTTCGAAAAATAAAACTTTGTTCCTCAACGCATTGGTAGTTATAGACATATCGGTATATTTTAAAAGTGTGTCATTACCAGAATATGTATCCGGAATGACACCGGTCTTGATGAAACGTCAGTTCGATCGGTAATTTCTGCCTTTGTTTGGACTGCAAACCGGTATCATAAATATCAGTTTTTACGATATATCTTTGAGATCGTGGTATTTATTCTGTCAAGTCGGGTTAATGCTAAAAAGAATTACAGCGGATGTGTTCTCTTAAACGCTGCTTTATAATCGTTGTTCCTTGTATTGAATTTATGATTAAATATATTTTTTTAAAACCCTCTTTTGTTTCAATAATATACTAGTACATTTATAAATATCTGTTTACCTGGTTCCGTACCAATGTTCCTAAAAAGCAAGGTATCCAAAGTTGTATACAAGCCGCGAGACAGAGTAAAATAAATAGAAAATGAATTTTGCCTTGGTCCAGATACTGAAATAAATGCAAAAACAGATCGTCATAAATCGTTTTAAGATTTTAAACATATTTCATAACAGTTGCCCGCGACTTCGTCCAAGCAACATTAAGAAAAAGAAATTAGCCTATGTATAATATGCCTGTCTATCTCAGCTACCCTTCAGTGAAAGTCCGGTCGGAATTAATCCAGCCTTTTCGTAGATTACCCGGAACAAACGCAGCTTACGGACAGGCAGACGAAAAATTATTAAATGCGATTTTCTTTATCAGCAACGCAAATACATCATCTTCGCGAAATTTGGAAATTTTCTTTTGGACAAATAGACACTACAAATTATTATATGTGTAGATAGATATTCAATACTTACATCTGCAATTTGATATGCCATTAAACAAATGGCTATAGAACTAACCGATACTTGAAATACCAGCGGCGGTCCGTAAACTGAAGAAATAATCTCAACAGACCTGTAAATGGTTTTAAAATAGTGCGTTATTTATTTGTTTTCAAATCGTTACACGAGAGAGCTAACTGTTGCAATGCCAACAGATATTAAAATGTTCTACTGCTTTCCACAAAGCTATAGTTAGAATACAATCTGCTTCCGCGTTGATTAATTGCTCGTTTAAGTGTGATCTTTAAAAATTGAGTTCAAATATTACGTCTACCTAAAAACAGATAAATGCCAATTGACGATTCTCTTCATACGTCGATTGAGTTCCATTTGCACTGCAACTCGACGCGGATGATAGCGCGACAGCTTCACCACTGTTTCGTCTAGATCGTTAAAGATAACCTCGAAGTCCAAGAAAATCATATTCATCACATAATAGTAATGTAGTAGTGTATGAAACAGTATGTAAACGAACACTGAAATGAACAATAGATAATTATTTTTGTCGTTGGTTTCTATTTTAGTCACAGCTATTATTATTGAAATTTCTGATTTATGCGCGACTTCCATTGCATTATTCGCGTCTAAAGAAACATAATTTCAATTTCATAAAATAAACTAAAGTTACGTTGTTATCCATTTTGTGGTGTCGATGATCCCAAACTTAGAATTTGTAAGACATTGGCATCAAATAAAAGAGATAAACAAATAATGGCAATGACTGATAAAAAAGGGTTTGGCATTTCTTTGTTTCTTTACGACTGCTACCCGCTATGTAAATTATTTTTTCCTTTTAGGCAACATTTTATGGCGATATGGACATCGTACTTGTGCGCGTAAAGGTCATCAGTCGTGGTGTGTTTTATATTGATAATTCAAGTGAAGATATCAAGTTTTTGGTTTACTATACTAATAAAATCAATTGCTACCCAGGATAGACGACATACAATTGACGCATGACCATGGGGACTTGCAAAAAATTCGTAATTCAGTTGTACCCTTTACCTAATCATAGAGAAAGTTACCTACAAGTTAGGCTTTAAAAAACTTAACTTTAACGTTTTGTATCAGCTATTTACTCACCGCAAAAAGTTTGTATGAAGTTAAAACATATGATGATTTCTAGTATTAAGAATATTTCGTAATTCGGTGTCCTGTAGGGGTCATCGTTGGGTAACCACATGGGGAAGGGCAGCGGGCGCACCGTGTGCTCGTCCTGCGCTACGAACAAGCTCTGATACATGAGCGCGAGCAAGCATGTCACTACGAACAAGCTCGCCACCGAAGTTGTGAATATGAACCACGCGTAACATAATTGCCAAATCAAGAGCTGACCTTGAAGGAAGGTAGATCTGAAAAGTAGTTGAAATAATCAGATCCTTAGTCGACTGATAACTAAATCCTGTTTCGTATAACTGTGTTATTTGTTAAAAAACAAGCTTTCGAAATACTTAGTAGGGTAATCTAAAATAAATAAACTGCTTAACCTTTCGATACAACGACATTTTACCGTAAATGTCCGTGTACTTTAATTAAACGACATTTAAACCTTTGTCTCGAATGAGGAGTTTTGTGTGGGTACTTTTATTTTTTCAACTCGACATTTTCCTTTATTTATAGCTGTTTGCATTACACACAGGGTTCGCATTGTACCCAATAGCATTGCAGATTTACTCTAGAAACATATTTGTCTAAAAGACTTTAGGCCTAGAATATTATATAAGTGATGTAACAGAATTTGGCAACCTTTCGGCTATGTCAAGTTGAGTCTTCTTGAGTTTATCATTTTGGTAAGATAAAGTTAAATTTGTGTTGTCTTAACCTTTTGGTAAAACCATTGAGTCAAACTTACTTATATCTGGGTTCTAATGTACGTACGTATACAAAATCTCTGTTCAAACATTCCAAAAGCTTCATTACTTTTGACTTGTTAATTAAAACGCTAATATTTACTATTGGAATTGAACTTATAATGATGAAATAACAAAGAGATTCAGTTGCGAACGCGTAGTCCTTTATAGTTATGCCGTGCTTCATAAATATAATTTCAAATGTTAGAGCCATTATTGTAAGAGAGTTGTATATAAATGGCCATATAAATCTGAAAAAAGGTAAATCTAGTTAACTTAAGAAGTCATTTTACCATAACATTGAAATACGACAAAAAATGAGTAATACATTGCAATAAATTGTTGGATTGTGTTACAAAGAATAAACATTTTGATGTAGGACAAACAAATATTTTTTTTTAATATCATCTGCAGCTGCTTTTTTTTATTTTTTAATATAAAAAGGGGGCAAACGAGCGGCAAGAACACCGAGATGATCAACGACAAGTTGATGTGATCTTTGACCTTAAATTTTTTTTACGTAGATAAAAACTATTTTTTTTTGTTTAATCCGTTACCTTAGTTTAGAATTTGGATTGTTAAAAAATATGCCATTAATAGCAAGAAAAAATTTCAATTGCGGATGAAATTTATAAAGGTCAATGCATGGATCTTCATAATCAAAATTACGCCGAGTAAAAAAATCTTTTAAAGATTGTAGTGACCACATTTCGAAGACGTCCTACTTCCAGAATAGATACAAGTAAAGTAATTGATGATGTGATTTACATTTATGATTATAGAAAATTATAACTAACTATATTAATTTCCTTAAAAAAAATCTTGTTGGTAAGTTGTATGTTAGATGAATTTCCAAAGAACATTGTTTTTTTTATAGGAGAAAGGGGCAAACGAGCGGCCAGACCACAGAGTCAACGACGCCCATGGACATCCGTGACACCCGAGGAACTACAGATGCGTTCCCTGGAGTGTTGGTTTGCTTCTATCATATAATTTTTTTTAAAAATCTTTATGCAAATATTATAATACAAATGTTTAAGCTATACTAATACAAAAAACATGCAATTTATTACGTTTTTTTATAGCTGAATATTATCTTAGATTTTTTTAAGGTCGTCTATATTTTTGCAGTTATTAAGTGAGCCTGGAGAATAAGACTAGTTAAAGAAAAAATATAATTCATTAAGTAGTTAAGTACAGTAATTGACTGCAATCACTTAAAATATAGTTCTCATAATAATTAGTGTAATACGCGGTTGCAGATTCATTAAATTACCTTATTATCTGATTCTATTACTTTTTGTAATTATAACGTATATAAAAATATGACTTGTAATATTAAAACATGTGCGATATACAATACATGCGTAATTACATGCAAAATTAATTAATACAGGTGTCCATATATATAAGCACATACATATAAGCGTCGGTGGCTCAGTGGCTTAAGCACTTGACTTGTAATCTACAGGTCTTGGGTTCGAATCCCGCCATGTACCAATGTCATTATCGATTTTTCGAATTTTTTTATGTACATAATTTACCCGACGTTCGTATGGTGAAGGTAAACATCGTGATGCAACCTGCTCATATCGGCGAAGAAATTCAAAGATATGTGTGAAGTCGACTAACCCTCACTGGACCAGCGTGGTTGACTATAACCTAGTCACCCTAACTTAGTGTAGGCTCCGAGCCCCTCGGTGGGGACATCTAGTGAGCTGGTGATGATGATGATGACTATAAAAGGTACAAATATTCGAAAATTTCGTTTAAACCTTTCATCGATAAATGTAGTCTTAAGATGGTTTTCTCACATCTCATTTGTAAAAACACTAGAATAGACAATTCTTCTTCTTCTTCATCGTATCTTCATTGCTGAAGGTCGTGCTTGCCCTGGTAAGCCTTTACCGTTTCATCTACCAGCTGCCTCCACGCCGCCCTGTCTTCGGCTCGTCTCAGGGCAGTCGGGATGTTGAGTCCCAGTATGGACTGCACCTGATCGGTCCATCGGGTAGGTGAACGCCCTCGTGACCTTTTGCCCTCGATTTTTCCAACCATTACCAGTTTGTCCAGATTGTCCGGTTGTCTTCGAGCAATATGTCCAAAGTATCCCAGAACTCGTCGGTAGCATATTGTGGATAGCCTGGTAGATATTTTTAATTGTTCGAGAATTTACTTGTTCGTTCTTTTTGCTGTCCACAGTATACGCAACATTCGCCTCCAACACCACATTTCGAAGGCATCAATTTTCTTTCGGTCGGCTGCACGATTCGGACCCGTACAAAAATATCGAGAAGACCAAAGCACGCACGAGTCTGGTCTTGGTGGTATTTGACACTTTCCTGTTTTGCCATATTCTAGTTAGCTTACTCATTGCTGCTTTGGCCATCTGTGTACGTCTGCGAATTTCTCCGTCACAGCTTCCCTGATTATTTACCAACGAACCTAGGTACACAAATTCGTTTACGAACTCCAGGTCTGAGAGTTCTCCAGTCCTCTTAACGAGTCCCGGACGGTCCACCACCATGACTTTGGTTTTCTTCTTATTTATCGATAGGCCCACCATTTCGCTTGCAGAGTCAACTCTTCCGAGCAGTTCAGCCATTTCTTGTTCTGAGGATGCAAACAACGTTGTGTCATCTGCATATCGAAGATTGCTGATTTTGTTGCCACCAACGGAGATACCTCCATCCCACTCTTCTAGCGCTTTCCTCATGATGTATTCGCCATAGATGTTGAAGAGAAGAGGAGATAGGATGCATCCCTGCCGGACACCTTTTTGAGGCTTGAAAGCTGCTGACATCACATCGTGTACCCTGACCATTGACGTGCCATTCTCATATAGGGCTGCGATCAGAATAACTAGGTGTTCCGGAACGCCCATTTCTCTAAGAATTTTCCACAAACAATCCCACCTCACGCAGTCGAATGCTTTAGAATAGTCAACAAAACACATGATCATTGGCACGTGGAATTCTCGGCTTTTCTCTATGAGTTGTCTAATGTCTAATGAGAATAGACAATAATAAACTTTTAATCAATTATCGCGGCAGTCTAACTTTATAGTAAAAACTATTATTTATTAATTAACATAACCAAATCCATTAGAAGTATAAACGTGATTTATTATGTTTCTTAAAGATTACCTACTGTTCAATCTAAAGTAGTCAACAAAATATTATTATCAAACAAAACTATTGATAACAGTACAAGACTGTGAGATACACAGATCTATATAAATAGATAGGACATTGCTCGGTAACGATAACTTTTGCTTCGATTCGACTTAAACATGCCTCTTGATATTAAATGACAGTCATTATTATAAGTTCGATCGTCACCACGGCTACCAACCGCGACCGTCAGCGCCAAAATGACAAAAATCAAATAGGAATAAGTGCCACGCCTGTCCATTTATAGAGGTCATTGTTGAGGTTCGACTGAAATTACATTTGTAGTTTTACATATCTTTGTCTCTTTTATTTCAAATAAAACGTAAGGGACAACATTATGTGTCAATGCAGTCAAAACACACATCTGTGTCTATCTAGACTACAGAAATATGTCGCAGTTAGGATAACATATCTTGCGGAATAATTGTTTGCTCCTAGTTTGCAATACGCATTTCACTGCGTTGGTCTTCGATCAAGATGATTGGTGCAATTGTTCTTGTTATACTGTTGGGGGTCGCAGCAGTTCGACTCTACAAAAATGCTTACAAGAAACCTGCCAATTTTCCGCCAGGTAAGTTAGTTTACTTGTTGAGCTGCGATTTTTAAAAAATAACGATTTTATAACTTACTGTAACTCAGATACTATCTTTGCTTAACATTATAAACAAGAAAGATTTGTGTTTTTGTATGTATTGAAACAACTCAATAACTACGCGGGCGATTTCAAAAATCCTTTCACTATTGGAAAACTACGTTTTCTCTGTGTCACATTGTTTACATTTCTTGCTCCTTTTTAATTCGACGCAGGCGAAATTGCTGGGAAACATTCTATCTGGCCTGGTACCAGTTAGTGTCCTGAAAAAGCCCGCAAAACTGTGTGTCCTAAAACACTATAAAAAGAGTTCAAAACATCAACTTTTTGCTTACTTTGTGACATTCGATATTTTCAACGTATTACCATCTTTGTTTGTTTTATGTTTATGTTGGTTAGGGTTTTTGGTTTTTTACCTTTTTTGAAATATTCAATAGTTTTTTTAGGTTTTTGGGTACAAGAAATGTAGACATTGATAATCTTTTTACAATTCAAAGACGCAACATGACGCAATACCAAGCGTACTTGTTGAAAAAATTTAGATTCTTTGATGTATAAGGCAAATATGTAAATACGAATAAAATACATTTTGTCCGAGACATCGAACTCGGGGAAGTAATTGAAAAAGTATAGGGCGTTCTTTCAGAATATATTTATTCCAAATATTAACGAAATCCTAGAAATACTCTAAAACAAACATCCATCCATGTATCTAAACTTTCATATTTATGACGTAAGAAGTAAAGAGTAAGGGCCTGTCCCTCCAAATTGTAAATTGTCTGAAAACAATCCAACGTGTAAAATATGTGATGGAAATATCGGATTTTGTTGCCTTATCTGACAGTGACGTCATTAAGCTATTTGAGCTTCTACCAGCCAGTAGTGAGATAGGCCCTAAGATTCGTAAGACGTAGGTATGTAACATGGAAAAACTCCCCAGCCATTTGTGTGGGAAACTCAAAAATTCTACTAAAATTTTCATGTAAGTTTTAGTTACTATGACTATTTTTAATTATCAAGAAACATGGAAAAGAGCATTTATTCTGTATGTTACTGTAAAAGCGCGAACTTCAACTAGTAAGTGAAATATATATAATATATCAAGTAATAAAAATATCACAACATTTCGTTATGAGTAGAATGAGTAATGGTAAGAAAATGGTAAGACTTTTGTCTTAGTTTTAAGAAATTTAAATAAAATCAATGTATAATATCACGTATTGGAAGTTCTCGATAATTATTTAATATAACTTTTAAATTTCGGAATCCTAAATAATAATCACAAATCAATCTCAAATCGAATTTAATTATAAAAATTACTGTATAAAATGTATATGTAGACGTATAAATATTCGAAAAAAATTATTACGTAACAATACAAATTTTTGATAACTCGGGGGTTAAGTAAACATTTTACCCTTGGTGGTTTTAAATAGCTGAGATATCAGTGGGGTGCAGGTCAGGGGTATTTATCAATTCAATTATCTTCACTTGTGGTCACCTAAGCATGTTCTGTAAGAACGCGTTAGTTGGTTTAACACACGATAGCTTTATTTTGGTCACCAGCCAATCCACTGCTGCTCGGTAGACCTTCTCCAATGATTTACACTGAATGCGGTCATCCGTTCATCCAAATTCTGAGCATCAATCCTCCTTTTGTCCTTAAAAAAAATGCGATATTAAATTGTCTAGCAACATAACTTTTGAGACAATGTGTGTGTCTGATAACACTATTAGTATCTACAAGTCATTATTGATTGCATAAAATTTGCTACGGTCATTTATTTATGTAAAGCAACAAAGTCGAAGAGAGCAATTTTTTTACATACTAAGATTTTGATTAACAGTTTTAATAACAATAATTATTGGGAGCAATTATAATATGTGGACCACAAACTTGACATTAATTTAATTGCGTTTTAATTACGTTTTAGCTTAAATATTAATCAACCGATTTGTGCCGACCCTCCATAAGGGATAAGGGCAAGTTGATGATTAATCAACCCATTTACACCATAATATTAGTTAGCGTAAGCTTGCGAAATGCCATCTAGACAAATAACGAAGAACTTATACCGACAGCAATGTGTTTATGGTAAAATATATACAGGTGATCTTAAGGGACGGATCAACGGTTTTTAAAAAAAACTTTAAAACTGTAGAAAATCGGGCAATATACTTTCTGTTTAAATGATAGCTATTTAGATCCTCTATCACCACAAAACCGTTGTTCCGTTCGCTAAGAATCATCCTGTATAATCGCGTTGATCTCAATAATAATAAATAAACGGCAATCAAGGAGTTAAAACGTGTTTAACTAAACAGCGACAAACTATATATTTCAACTCTTCACTAGTTTTTATTAATTTTTAGGTCCGCCCAGTCTCCCGGTGTACGGTGCTTACTGGTTGGTCCTAGCAAAGGTGTACAACAACTTAGCAGCCGCTTGCATTAAATATTCAAATGAATACAAGTCCAAAGTAATAGGAATGTTTCTGGGTGCTGTCCCAGTGGTTATTGTCAATGATCCTCATTTACTCAAAGAAGTACTTAATCGCGAGGAATTCGATGGTAGAATGGACATCATACTTGGCAGACTGAGGTCTTATTGGAAAAAGCTTGGTAAGTTATTATATCTCTGTAACATTATCTATACTAATATTATAAAGGGGAAAGATTTGTATTTTCGGATTTTTGCATGCATTGAAATAACACTATATAGTTAATATAAAAACTACTGTTCGAATTTCAAAAATTCTTTCACAATAAGCTACGTTATCTGTGAGTAACATAGGCTGCGTTTTTCAATACGTTTTTATTTCACGAGGGCGAAGTCGCGAGCAACAGCTAGTATCATATATACACTCCGTATCATATCATTCTGGGTTACACAGACCTAGAATGATATCGAAAATGAACTCCAAACGAACATATCGCAATGAAAATAAAAAGTCATGGTGACGACAGTGTTTGCTGCCATTTATAAAATATTCGACCAGAACGAAAAGTCACGTTCTTCATAAATCTGTGATTTCTTACTTTTGCCAGTTTGTATTTTTTTTTTATTTTAAACAAATAAAATATTATGACAATAATACGGGCGTGAAGTTATTACAAAAAAATAAGGAAGATGAACTTGCTTAGTTGACGAATAATTATTGATTTATCTTTATTTATGATGCAATATTCGTCTGCACCAGGCATTTTCTTCACGGACGGCTACTTTTGGCACGTACAGAGAAGGTTTACACTGAGATACATGAGAGACTATGGTTTCGGAAGACGTGATCAGTCCCTGGAATCGACGGTCGCCAACGAGGTCAAGGAAATGATTGATATGGCTACGAATGGACCAAAATACCCTGCTGAAAATGTAAGACTTTTAAATTCTACTAATAATAATAGTAAAAGCGATTTTAGAAACCACACGCTTAGTGAGGAGGTTTCTTACTTTGTAGCTGACCACTGGTTGCTTGAGTCATCGCATTATACAGACGGTGCTGCTCTTTTTTTATGTATTTATGATATATGTTTGTAAAACGAACTTAAAATTAGTAAGCGTAAGTCTAAAAACTCGATGCAACAATTAGCAATAACTGATTGTAATAATGTACGTGTAATCAATCTATGTTATCACAATTGACGTATAAAAATCTTAAGGGACTTTCCCGATTTAATAAAAATTATAAATTGCGATGTAATGCAGTCAATTGATAGTTGATATCTTGAAGTTCGTGCGATATTAAATTTAGCGTAGTTAACAAAGTAACCACTAAGTTTTAAAGTAAAAATAACTATAGTTTTTGCATTAAGAGCTTTGATCGAGGAGTTCAAGTCCAAAGATCCCTGTAAGACACCCAAAATAAAACCCTATTCTACCAATTGATTATTGTATACTTTAGAGATGAACCCTTTAAATCTCCTCACTGCAATAATATTCTGAACGATCAAGAGTTGTTATGTTGATTAATTGTTAAAAAAAATCGCAATCTTTTGCTAACTAATTCCTATTTAATATTTTTTTATCAGGACTTAGTGAAAGGAGACCTGATATATTTGCCTCATTTCTTCGCGGTACCGTTTATGAATGGCTTGATGCACGTATTCACACGTGCTTGTGTGCCGAGGCAGGATTACCATATACTGTGGACGACAGCACGAGGAGCTCTTAGGTTCCAAAGGAGTTCAAACGACCTTGGCGCTGCCCTCAGTTATACTCCGTGGCTAAAAGATTTGTTACCGGAATACAGCGGTTACAAGGGTCTTAAGGAAGGAAATCAGTGCATACTCGATTTATTTACGGTACGTGTATACATTTGATATAAAAAAGTATTAAAAAGAAGTTTTATTAAAAAAATATAAATAAAAATTTGTCTTTTTAGAAAGTAATAAAAGAAGCCGTGGACACCCATGACAGCTCATACAACCGGCACTTCTTAGATGTTTACATCAGTAAAATGAAAGAGGAAATGACTGAGAAGAAGAGAACTACCTACTCTGGTAACTAAAAAAGCTAGTAAAAGTTTACAATGCTTATTAAGAAATCGTGATAATTATTCTTTCATCATATTCCATTGTATAGTTTCTCTTATTGAAAAAACTATGGAGTTTTTTTTACTTTCTTAAAGTTTCCCTTACGGGACAAACTGAGAAGACCAAGGATTATTGATTAATTATTTTTTTATATTTTTCAGTTGATCAACTGGTGCTGGTGTGCACAGATTATATGTTCCCGACAGCGACAGCTCTAGAAGCTGTCCTTACTTTGCTTATTGAACGTATGTTATTACATCCTGAAGTGCAAGACAAAATCCACGAAGAGATAGATCGCGTTATCGGCCGCGACAGACTTCCAACGATAGATGATAGAAGCAAGTAAGATTTAGATGTTATTTATTGCATTTTTACACACTTTTGAACTTGTACATATGTACGAGTAGAAATCGAATTATTTTAGCAAAAACGTCATCAACTAATGACATTCTTGTACCAAGTCTTTTACGATCGATAACGGTCTTTTGGTTAAAGGCTAAAGATTTTTACGAGGTCTTTGACCTTAGTTCTTTTATGAACTGTTCTGATATTCAGACTTCAGACTAATGTATTGATATTTCAATCATTTTGCGCTTGTTATTAGGTTATTCGATAAGAAAGCTGTTTATATACATTCATAGTTATGACCTTTGAGTTCATTACTCTGTGTTTATTAAAGTAAATCAAGTATGTTTAGTAAAATAGAATTTGACGAAATTGCTCATAAGAATGCGTCAAGGTTCGAACGTCATCAGGTCAAATGATTGCAAAATGATAGTATCTGTGTGATGTTAAAATCATGATGAAGTGTCTATTCAGATTGCTGCATTCTCAAAACAAAATCAAAAATCTATAGTTAGGTACATTTTTTTTGTGAAAATGATATAGCCAAGAACACGTTAAATGTAATGTTTAATATTTTCCAGTTTGCCGTACACAGAAGCGTGTTTTCGGGAGATAATGAGGATCGAGACGCTGGTGCCTCTCGGCGTGCCGCACCGCACCATGGCCGACACCAAGTTGGACGGATATGACGTGCCCGAGGTATTTTATCATTAAAATTTTAAAATTAAAAAAACTATTCGTTTGAGACATGCACCCTCAACAGTGGTAGAGCCCGCATTAACATCTTCGCACGAATGGGCCGGCTCGCCCGGTGAAATACTACG